TGTCAAGTTATGATGTCAAATCAAATGTTTACTAAGGTCATGGTTATTTAAATATTATGGGGGAAGTTAAAGTTGAATAGAGTGACACCGGTTAGGATCCTATCGTTCCTTCTTTCCGGCACTACTATATTCTTTTGGATTCACTTAGTCCAAATGAATTTACTAAACTCTACTTAATGAGTTCCATACTTTCATTTAGACCATGGGAAGTCTCGTTAGCAACCGTAGGTTACCTCCTCCGAGGGATTTCCAATCATCTGATAGAGACGTCTTAATTTAGTTGTAATTGTTGTTTTGTGATATTTGTGATTAAATTTTGAGTTGTTTTTATATTTTGAATGTTGTGACGGTGAGTTTTATCTTGGTTGATTTTAGTTTTTGGTTTTGATTTTAGTGGTTTTCCTAACAATTTTTGGTTTTCATGCAGGGTGATATCGTTGTTTAACATGCAAGTTTTATAAGCATTAAAGTACAGTGCGGAAAATATAATAAAAGGCGGTACTACAAATTATAAAAGCATACCTGGCGAGTCTTTTCGTTCCACCACCTGAAAGGTCAGTACTTGCAAGATATGTAGATAATATTGCACGAAAGTTTAAATTGCAAGAGTAGATGAAGGTTTAGCTACCAAACCCCAAGCTATGATTTTGTTGGATCTTGGAAGATCCTAGTGGATAATTTTAGAACAAAATATAACAAGTTCAATTTGCTCTTCAAAATATCCAGAAGGTTTCAAAGTGTTGAGGGAATGACCCAAAACTACTTTGAGGCTCTTTTGAATTATTACAAGTTTATTTTGAACTTATCATATTGTTTCAGTAATCATCCTAGGTTGAAGTGTGGCTACCCTGTTGCTCAGTGAAACCTAACAATTTGATTATCCCAATGATAGGTTACTTGATCAGTCAATTGATGTTTCATTTAAGAGTTATATGAGTGAGTTCCCTTGAGGCAAGTTTAGGTTATTTAAGATTGTGGTGCCCTCAACTAAAAGTCAGGATTGTATATGGAATTTTTTTGTTGCATGAGACAGCAATCTAACTATGGAATGAAAGATAAACATGAGTCTATCACATGATTCTTTATTTTGTTGAGACATAAAATGAACTCACGAAAATTTTTGTTTGAAGCATAGCATGAGCGCATATATTTTCTTACTTGATGTATTATAACATAGCACATGAAGGTTTTTTATTGCATGGGATATACACATAACACAAGAAGTTTTCCTATTACATGAGATATACAACTACATATGATTTCTATTGCATGAGATCTACGCATAAGCACTAAAATGTTTTCTATTGCACGATACATGCACAAAAACACATGAAAATTTCTTTATTGCATTAGATATACACATAACATATGACAAAAAAAATTTTTATATGAAACATAACTTAATCGTATGGAAGACACATTTTTTTCATGATTTTTTGGGTAGGGTGAAGAAAAAAAGGAAAGTGCGAGTGGGTGATAACATTAGAGTTTCATGTAGTAGAAGAGAGTTAGTGGGAGGGAGAGTGACTAGGCCAGGAATTTGGGTATGTCAGAGTTAGGATAGGGTAACTTATTAGGCTAGAGCTTCAAGTATGGGAGATTGATGGAGAGGGTAAGTGATTAGGTATGTGAAAGTCAGGGAGAGGGTGAGTGATTATGCTAGAGTTTTAGGTAGGAAAGAAGATGAGAAGGTGAGTGTGTTAGTGTTGGGTTTTCAGGTAGGTAAAAAATATGGGAAGGGGTGTGTGTTAGTGTTGGGGTCTTGGATAGGAGAGAAGATTGGAAGGCGAGTATATATTTTTTGTATGTTAGAGTGAGGGGGAGGGTGATTAAATAGGCTATGGTTTTGGGTATATGAAGTACAAGAACGTGATGAATGACAATGTGATGTTTTTGCATGGGGTAGTGACCAAAAGAAAATATATTGACATTTTCATAAGGGGGAGGGTGATTAAATAGGCTATGGTTTTGGGTATATGAAGTACAAGAACGTGATGAATGACAATGTGATGTTTTTGGCTGGGGTAGTGACCAAAAGAAAATATATTGACATTTTCATAACTATTTTACACTATTTTTCATGATATTGCACTTTAAAGAAACGTATTTTTGATGTTTTGTTGCAGGAATGATGAATTATGGTCATTAGAGCAAAAAAGATAAAAAAGGAGCGAATTTAGAGCGAAAAGGACCAAAATGTGA